TGAGCATTGGGATTAAGGGAATGTGCCACCATACCATGCTTTAGTCTTTTTTTTTTTTTCCTTTGGTTTTTCGAGACAGGGTTTCTCTGTGTAGCCCGGGCTGTCCTGGAACTCACTCTATAGACCAGGCTGGCCTCGAACTCAGAAATCCGCCTGTCTCTGCCTCCCAAGTGCTGGGATTAAAGGCGTGTGCCACCACCGCCCGGCCATGCTTTAGTCTTAATAGGATTCTTCTTATGTCCTGGTTCTTCCATTTGGGGATAGGAAGTATTGATTTCTTGAGTTTATGTTTCCTTTCTTTCTTTCCCCCTTTCTTTCTTTCTTTCTTTCTTTCTTTCTTTCTTTCTTTCTCCCTTTCTTTCTTTCTTTCTTTCTTTCATTTTACAGGAGCACACATATTAAAAATTTTGGATTTTTTTTAAGAGACAATAATGGATTGACCTGCCCCCCACCCCCAATCCTTTTCTTCCCCAAATTCCTTGTATTTTTATCACAGCAACACAATGGAACTAATGCAGGGAGATAAGGAGAGAGGCCAGTAGTAGTGTGTGTGACTCTGGTGTATGACTCTGGTATGTGACTGTTTATTATTTCCCTAAACAAGAGGACACATGAAGAACAGGTTGCTTGCTGCGGTCTGTCCTGAGTACCTGTTGAGGTGAACTGCTGCATCAGATCTACTTGAGGGAGTAGGTAAGATAAATTCTGGCCCCATCCATGGTAGAGAGGTCCCTCACTAGGCAGCAAGGATAGCTGTGTGCACACAAAGTGGTACCCATAGCTCATATTGATGGTGTGGTGCTGGAATTGTCACCCAATGCACTGAGAAATAATGAGGGTTAAGAAAGATACAACAGAAGCTGGGGGAAAAAAAGAAATCTAGACATTCTCTCTCATTGGAAAGGATCTGTGCAAGCCCTTACTGTAAGGCTTTGATAGGAAAGAAGAATAGCCACTCCACCCCAATGCAACCTGTCTCCCACAGACCATGCCAGATGGTTTGTAACTTCTCATCCCTACCTTCTTTCCACTAACATTTGATGCACTCAGAGGGCCAGTTTGTTTTGAGGGACCTCTACAGACACCAGAGAAATAAATCAGATCTTCTCTGTTTCCCAAAGTAACCAGCCTTGAGTATTTTGTTACATTGAAATAGAAAACAGACTAAGATTGTTGCCTATTCTAACCTACGGTCATATGCACTAACTCCTGGTAACTCCCAACAAATTCACAGAACCTTATCTGATGCTTTCGATATCAGAGGGCTTGATATCTCTCAGAGCAGGCCACTTGACATCACGCGGCTCTGAGTGCTGTACTTGGAGGTAGAGGCTGTACACTATGGGTCCTAATGCCCTTGAGATCATAGAGCCTATCCTGTCACAAATCTACACTCCCACCGCCTGGAAGTCTCACGAAATCCTGTGTATGTGCATGCTCGTTGGTGAGAAAACATACAGATACTAACAAAGGCCACGGAATAAGGTTTCTATCACTCCCCAGCAGAAGCAGGGAAACCCTCAGCTGTACTCTAACTACTGCTTGGCTGCTAAGGAAGTAGCAGAAGTCTCTAAATTGTTGTCAAGACAACCAAAGCACAAACACAAATCTCTTTGGGATCCCATCAGGAAGCAGTTTTTTAGCATACATGCCCAAAATAAATAAGCTACTCCTCCCCCTCCTCTTCTCTCTGTCTCCATCTCCTGTTCTTGCCACATGGCGGTGTGTGCTAAAAATGTGTACTGGGAAGCTATCCACCTTTGAGGTTAAGACAGCTGCTGCAATATTGTTTTTGCTCATGTTTGAAAATGTACATGGGGTGGTGTTGTTTTTAAGCATACTGTTTCATAATACTAGTTCAGATTCCATAATGTGATGACCTGGCACATTACTGGCAAAATTGAGACTTACTAGATATTCACTGACCTCTGCCTGGTGTAGTCCAACATGCTAACTTTCTATGGCTAGCTTCCAGTATGCCCACTGACCCCAGGAAGAGAGCATTCACAAGGCTGGCTGCACTGTCTCATGTGGGATAAACAAGGAAAAACCCACACATGTATAACAGGTTAAAACAAACAAACAAAAAGAAAACCTCGATGTTCTTGAGCCCTTGACTTTGCAAGATCTCGAAGCTGTAAGGGAATGTCCCACAGTCCAGTACTAATTTCATCAAGGAGAGCTCATCAAAAGAAACAGAGTCAGACACACCAAGTACACAGTAGGAGCGCCAAGGTTGTAGGCAAGGTTCATAGGGACAGGTAAAGAGACCATGCCATCTCACTTTACTTGTCTCAATGACCTTAATGTCAGAAGACAAAGCCTCCAAGCCAAAGGTAGAAGCCTGAGACTATAGCAAAGAGTCACCAGCATGAATCCAGCCTAAAAACAGCCTGTACCTTGAGCAGAAAATGTGTCTTCCAACAAGTGACTAAGCACAAAGACTAGCCACCAAGCCTCTCAAGCAAGAATAAGACTTTTGCATGAGGTAAATACACTCTGCCACCTTCTAGGCAATGGAGGGTAAAGCTGGCAAGGTATAGATTATACTAAGGCTTCAGGGTTATGTGACATAGCTTTAAAACAAAACAGGAAGCTGAGTGTCAGCTACATGCCCTACTTCACCCAGAGCAGATGAGCCTGACTATGACACAGGGGCCTAAGATAATCCTAAAAGGACCATAGGGCTCATCATGGACTCCATCATTAGGCCCAGGGGATCTCTCAAATCCAGAGAGTACACCAAGGCCATGGACCTCCTTTAAAGGCTATCTTAAACATACAGCCAGCTTATTAAGATACGTAGCTAGAGATGCACCCTGTCACAATGTGAAATCTGGCCCAGAAAAAGAGCAGCCAAGAGAAGCCTGGGAACCTAAGGACTAGTACTTTCAGTATAGACAACCTCACTTGCTCTTTGAAATAAAGTATCTTCTGACCTTGGTAACACGAAAATGTGTAGCTACCTTCAATACAAACTTCTTTCTCTGTTACAGCATCCTCCACCCCCAGTTCAAATTCCTACCTGTAGGGCCAACACAAAGAGACCAAAATCAAAATAAGGCACCTGCACTACCTCTAGGAAGCCTGTGGTGATTGCTTTGTTTGTGAAGATGGAAAGAAAAAGAAGAGTTTTTCTAGTTACTTCATTTCACCCAGGCTTCTCTAGTGTCACAGACCAGCAGGAAATGGTCACACACACACACACACACACACACACACACACCTTAAGAGACCATCGAGTACAGTTCTCTGCCTTCAAAGAGAAGAGGATGATATGTCCAGTCTACAATTAAACCACTCATTCAGCCCTTCCAGGCCCTGGGGCAGAAGACAGGCCAGGACTCCTGACTGCTGGTTCTGAGCCCTTCCCACCCTCATCATTGTCTTAATAGGACACTAAAACTAAAAATTAAAGGTGATGCCAGGCGGTGGTGGCGCACGTCTTTAATCCCAGCACTTGGGAGGCAGAGACAGGCGGATTTCTGAGTTTGAGGCCAGCCTGGTCTACCGAGTGAGTTCCAGGACAGCCAGGACTACATAGAGAAACCCTGTCTCGAAAAACCTTAAAAAAAAAAAAAATTAAAGGTGATGTCAATGGGACTGTGCCTGTGCATCTAGGTGGATTGCAAAGGAGGAGGTGTAACTCACCTCCAAGAGCCAAAAATGTTTCCTGTTTCATCGTTCTCCATGGCTAACTGTTACATGCCCCTCACACCAACGGCTTCCTCTTCTTTGGGGTCTGCCATTCCTTTGAAATCTTCAAAAGCCTTTCTCCCGTGGGATTCCTAGGTCTAGACTATTGGACAGCCCCGAAGACACGAAGCTTGCTCCTATGACACCAAAAGTTCAAAAGAGAACTCCAGGAGCAGCATCCTGCCCAGCCTCCTGGGTGAGGAGCCCTGGGGAGGCCTTGCTGGACACTTAAGAGAAAAATGGAAAGTGCTGAGGGCAGTGTGGGGGTCAGTTCCCAACACTTCCTTCCATCAAAGGCCCCAGATGAAGCCACAAGCCCCTGGTGCATTCTATCCTAATCCACACTCATAGCCTGTGTTCACCTCCACATCCATCCTGACAGACCCATTAGCATTTCTTTGAGAAGAATGAATGTGGCCCCATTCTTTTATTTAGGAAATACTTTTCCTTGCAGGACCAAATTTGCCAACTTCAAGGGCGGTATGTTCAGTGTTAATGCCAAAGACTACAGAAAACATGGCTTAACATCAGCTTTTATTTGGGAAGACTTCCGGAATTTGATGTGGGTAGCCTAAGGAAATGACCCCAAACACTGAATTCCCTCGGGGGCAATTTTCAAGGGACAGCGCAGTGTGGTGGAGTATGTCAGTCTGGCAGAGTACCCCAAGTCTCAGGGTTTGGATGCTGTTTCTTTCTTTGTTTCTGACTGCTTTTATATTTCTCGGGACTAACACTCAGTTTGGAAGAGGAAGGGTGATGGGGGCGGGTGTTTCTAATCCTGCTTCATTTTCATCCGCTGCACGAAAAGTGTGCTTCCCAGGCCAAAACCCCGGTTCCCCCACTCTTGTTTGGAAGGATTGGTTTGTTGGCTTGTTTTCTGAGAGAATAAAGCAACTGCCACCACCACTCCCTACCCACCCCCGCAGAAAGCAGAGGAAAGCCAGTGCCTCCTCAGAGTAACTTAAACATTCCGCAGTGAGGGAACCGCCAGGGGCAGAGGCAAAAGCCGTAGGGGTCCGGGAGCTGCAGGACCCGCTGTCGTTTGGTCCTCAACAACCCCCCAACCTCCCACCCACCTCCACCCCCACCCCCCGCGGGACCCGCAGCCTAGGGAGCCCCAAGGTTGCCAGGCGCGCGGCCGCAGATGCAGCGATCGGAGGCGCTCGGGAGCATCTGGGACCAGGCGGCCGGTGCGGGGCGCAGAATGAAGCGCGCGGGACCCGGGGGAACGCGCGGGAGGCGGGCAACGCGGGGACAAAGGCGCGGAGGAGTCGGGATCCCCGTAGGATAGGACCAGGACTCACCCCGAGAAGACACACTTTGAGCTCCCGTATCGCCATCATGTGCTCTGGGTCGGGCCGGGCCGGGGCTCAGCAGCATCGTCCGGGCCGCACCGCGCCCAGCCTGCGTCCAGCCGTCTCCCAGAGCTCTCGCCGGCCGCGGGGCGGAACCGTGGAGGCAGCTATTTCTGGGCCGCGGCCTTTGCTGTCGGTCACGTGCCGCCGGTCAGCTCCTCCCGACGCGTCTAGTCTAGCCTAGCCGCCGGGCTTCGGCTCCGCCCGGGCCCCGGTCCGCTTCGACCTCCGATGACAACCCTACATCCGACTTGCAGGCAGACGGTCCCCTCCCGCGATCAGCTCTGAGCCGGGTCAGGCACCACTTGCCCTGGGAGACCTGGACACACGACTCGTCGCGTCATAAAGAGCCATTCGTATAGTTTATCCTGTTAGCTGTGGTGCCAAAGAAGCACTTCCAAGTCCCTTGGTAGTCCCACCATAAATGACTCTGACCTCTAGATGCAAGTAACAGCGCGAGGGACTGGGATGAGGAGAGGAAAGGTGTAACTTGTCCCTTCTAATACCCAGGCTTCAAATCGCTTCCTCCCAAAACTTCACTTTACTCTGCGCGCAGTTTTCTGTATGCAGCAAAGGATGATTCAAGGATGATTCGAGAAGCAGCCAGTTGTTTCTGCTTCCAGAACTCGAGCACCAGAGCCAGAGCCTGGGAAAGGAAAGGTGCACTCTGCACTTTCTCCGTGTAGAAAATTCTACAGCTGTGTTGGCAGGAGCCCTGCCACAAGTACAGCCAGAACTGTGGGCTGGCAACCCTTCTGCAGACTCCTCTACTAGGAAACTGAGGCTGCGTGCAGTTTCACACAGAGGGGCCATGCCCTCTGGTCTTTGTATGGCCCAGTGTTCCTCCAGCCTCTGGAATGACTTCATTTGTTGCTGTATAGAAATGACAGCTCTTTGGGAGTAATCTGAATTTACTGGTACTTCTAATTGTAAACAAGTATTTTAAACAACACTGGATATGGCTCAGTTGGGACAGTGCTTGCCCAGCATACCTGTGTTTGATCCCCTGCCCCATAGGCACGGTGGCTGTTAGAAACGGATTGATCCAGGCAACCTGGAAATAAAGCAGACCAGTAGAGAAGCACAACCATCCTTTAATGAGAACAATGAAGAGCAGTAGGCTCTCAGGCGGTGAAGGCTGCGCCCGTGTACTTCGGGATTTATAGGACTGAAGAGGGACTTGGGATGGGGAAGTTTTAGCTAACAACCTGTACTTTATCAGCAGTTCTCATTACCTGGCTTTCTTGTCAGGCAAGTGTTCTTATCAGTATGCTGAGTCTGAAGTTCCTCCTCCTTGGAGTTGAAGTTCCTTGTTTTAGGTCTTTAACCCTTGAGAGGCATATGTCTGTAATTTTCAGCAGGAGGAGGATCAGAAGTTCAAGATTACCCTGAGCTACCTAGAAAGTTCCAGGCCAGTCTGGATTACATGACACCTTATCTCAAATAAAAAAAAAAACAAATAAATGCCAGTTTTAAGATGTGATTTGTTTATAGGTTTGAAGTTTATGGATATTTTGTCTGCATGTGCATCTGCACACCAGAAGAGGACGTTGGTGAGCTACAGTTGAGAGCTGCCACGTGGGAGGGAGGCGAGGTGGGAGGTGGGGGAGAGTCGAGGATATGGGACCTGGGATCTGAACTCAGCAACTCTGGAAAATCAGCCAGGGCTCTTAACTGCAGAGCCATGTCCCCAGACCCCAAAAGCAAGTTTTAACAAAGCATTCTGCATTTCCAAGTTCTCTGGCCTCTCTCATAACTTGTCACTTCTGATCAAAGGCTCCTGCCATTTTCCCAGCAGACCATGGTTATCTGGCAAGCCAGATAGAAAGTCCTCAGGCCTGAAAGTGGCCTCTCATGGTGGGAAATTCCAAAGTAAGGTCCACAAAAAGAATTCTAGAACCCTGGAGTCAAAACAGGCCCCAGGACAAACTTGCAATCAATTAAATTCCCCAAAGTAGCAGGAGCTTTGTGTCAAGGTACAGGTTCATAGAAATCTACTTGTCTGGACTGAATTGATCAAAAAGTAGCCATGTGAATGCAGGTCTTATTCGAGATCTCTTTTGTGTCAGTATCTCTCCTTGATTCAGCATCCAAGGACAGCCAGTTCTGTGTGGGCAGACTGAAGACAGGCTACCCAACATTGCCCAGTCCTGGCACAATACCTCCTCTGTGCTCGGGTTTGCTTAGCTGACAACTGTTAGACACAGTTGCAGACATCTTGGCCAAGGCTTCTTCCTGCCTTCACTGGTACCTACAAGTTCCATAACAAGTAGGATTTGACCCTCCATATTAAAGTGTGCCCCTTATAAAGCTGAGGTATGTTTTTCTTCTATTACTTCCTGTGGACTTGAGGGTGACTCATAGAACTGCAGTGCATGCTGACAAGCGTGGACTATGCCCAGAAGGACACATACAGACAAAATGACCTCCTGTTTCCTTCATCTTTCCA